GTCAGTTACAATTTTTTCTCCCCTGGGATGTTGGGACATTAACGTAGGCCGTTTCCCACCTCCTCCCTGTGCCCCGTGTGCCACCAGCAGTGCAGCTCTGCTGGGAAGGCAGTTGCCAGCTGCTGCCGGGCCACTTCCCCTTTGATGCTGCTCTGGTCAGTCGCCAGCGAGCTGCTCTTGGCTCTGTGGGGGGCCATGTCCTACGGAGGGATCCCAGACATCCCCAGGGCGGCCTTAATATCACTCTCTGAAGGACGTTTTGGAAACTCCTTGGGAAGTCCTTACTTTAGAGTGTGCTCTTTCAACCTATTAAAAAAAAAGCGTTTGCTATAAAACAGTGCACATTAGGCCGGCCCACAACCTTATACATCTCAGTTCTCACACCTCTTGATCACATCCTTTTCTCTCATGCTTGACTTAATCTCGTGTTTTGTGAGGTATGCAGTAGGCTACACTATCTAGGTTTGTGTAAGTGCTATGATGTTCACAAAATCACCCAGCGACGCATTTCTCAGAACGTATCCCTGTTGTTAAGCGGCGCATGACTGTATACAGCTCTCTAACCTGCTTTTGAGTTAAACTTACCTGGTGAACATTTGTCCATGTGGCAAATTATAGTTCATGTCATAACTTTATAGGTTCCATAGTGTCCAATCATATGTAACTTTTTAAGCTAATATCTAAATTTGTGCTAGACATCAGTATTGTTTCTAGGATTTCACTTGTGTAACAAATCTATAAAAAATATTCTTGTCCAAATTTCTTGGTGTGGTTGATGGCTCGGTAAAAGACTCCTCCCCCCACCCCCAGAACCTTTGTTTACAAGGTGTAAAAATGCCATGTTCAAAATGTCCAACTAAATTTGAGTGTCATTATTTTTGTAAATTCTTCCTAATCAGAAAAGCAAAAAATTATTACTATTTTTAATTGCTTTGATTAATGAACTTTGACTTTTTCCCACATTGTTTTTTAGTTTTTTATTACAAATGGTTCTTAGCCTAGTTATCTTTCTTTTATTTCCTTAGCCTAGTTTTCTAGAGCAGTGGATAATATAGGTATGAATAGCTGTCATAATACATATATACTGTGATGTGCTATATTTTACCATTTCCCTGTCTTGGATTCCAATTTGGAGTCTATTATTAAATACTGATATAATAAGTACCTTTATGAATAATTCCACCCCAACACACACACACACACACACACACACACACACACACACACACTTTAGGCCTTCTATAGCATAAAGGTCCTACAAATAAAAATCACTACATCAAAAGACGGAGAAATCAAAATAAACATACTAGAAATCATTTTAAGAAAACATGTACTGTCAAGAGCAGCCTCATGATACCCAGTCATTGTAAGTAATAGTTTTTCTTCCTAATGTACATCATCCTGTGCCAAGTGCTCCTATGAGGTATAAGGGGAAAATGGACCCAGCAGGTGCTGTCCTTCGAGGCCACACACCCTAGCCCCTGGTGGCGGATACCCTTGGCCTCTGGGCTGCTCGCTCTGGCTTACACCCTGGGGCTCTGTGGAGCTCCTCATGGCTGACTATGCAGGGTCTCTATTTCTTTTGTGTGATGGCTTCTCCTAAGAGTCGTGTTTTACTGCTGGGACCAGAAGTTGCCCCTGGGCTCGTGCACCTTCTACCATCCACCTGCTCAGAACACATGTGCATTCAGGTCTTCTCTCACCTGTGCTTCTGCCAGAGCCGTGAACCCCAGGGAGCTCTTGGCACATGGATGCAGGGACATTCTTGTGTGAAAAATAAGCCTTTATTTGCTTTTTATCTCATGTTCAAATGTGCTGGGTTTTACTTCTCTTATCCCTGTGATTTATTTGTTATTCTTTGTAAGGAAGTTGCTTCTCTTTTTGATGTGGGTCCCACTGAGTTCACTGTCTGTCCAGCTGTTGTGAGTTTGTTGTGCTCTGTCACATCCAGCCATTGGTGGTGCTGTTTGAAGTATACAGGACTCTGAAACAAGGTCGTCTGGGTCGCGATGCACCTAAAATGTGGCATTTGGTGGGTTTGTGTCCTGAGGCTGATGCCTTCTACAGTAATGTAAGTAAAGACCAGGCTGCCCTGGCTGCCTCCTCCCTCCCTCACCTCCGCACGTGGACTCCACTGAGTGGACTGGAAACCTCAGGACATGTAGGGCTCAAGTTCACACTGCCATTCTGGAAGCAAACGTGGTCATGCATGTGAAACTGTAATGTCTAATACAGGTACATACTGAGGATTAATTATTTTCAAGACAAGATTTCTTGTGGATTCCAAATACAGATCTATCTGTGCTAAACTGATCTGCCTTATGGAAGGAGAGGAACTAGGAAAACTAAAGGACATTTCTCATCACATTAAGTTCCCCAATGGCAAGGACAGTGCCTGCCACAAAGAGAGCCCTCTGGCTCACAAAGCTGCCATAACCCAGGTTGCCAGCAGGGGGAGTCAGGACTTGCGGCCAGGCCAGGCTGAAGGGGGCTGAGGTAGCTGAGTGGCTGAGCTCCTGGGGCATGCTGGGCCTGAGGGACTGAATTGGCCCTGCCCAGGTGGGAGGTGGATTCAGGCTCTTCTGGTAGGCATCAGGTGGGCTGGCAGTTCAGGTCTGGTGAGGAAGCAATAGAAGGGAATTCACGCTGCACACTGGGAACTCCGTTAGTAGATGAGAGAGAGTCGGGCTCAAAGTAGGGTGGGCTGGGAGGGAAGAAGCTGGTGGTCAGAGCACTCAGATGGGAAACAGGGGCTGGTGTGGGAAGGTCAGCCAGGGAGGACAGAGGTTGACCGAGCTCAGGGCTGGCCCAGGGCAGGGCAGGGCAGGGCAATGGGACCTGAGCGAGGCTGAGGGCCATCACAGAAGCATCTCAGCCTCTGAAGCAGAGAGTCGTGCTGTGGGAGAACCCTGCCCTCCTGGAGAGAGAGGCCCTGGAAACAGGAAACAGAGTGCCCACGGCATGACTCCCTGGCGTTATTCCCCTTCCGCTGACCTGCTCCTCTCTGCCAAATTGTTGGGGTTGGTGATGGTATCTGGCTTAGAGAAGGTAAGAACTTTCCGAGGCCCAGGGAGGACTATTTCTGAGGAGAGGAGATTTTATTTTAATAATGGAACTTAGACTCAAGTCTTACAGAGGGCTAAGCACCAAAGAGATGTGCTTGTAACATGGATGAGAAACTATCCTGCTTGGGGTTTAGGGAGAATGCAGGGCTGGGGGAGAAAGGAAGAACTGCCAACAGAGGGCGCTGGGAGCAGCGCCGTTGCCTATGGAAAGTGGTTCACTGAACACTTCAGTGGTATAGGCTCTAGAGGGGTAGTTACTATGGCTCTGTACTCCCCACTGCCTGCCCCCGTGGAATTCGTGCCTCTGCCCCAGGAAAGGTGGTCAGGTCAAGAGGAAGGTCAGCGTCACACCTGTTGTTAGAGGCACTTCATTGTTCTCTTTATCCAGGGGAGGACTCCTGGAGGTTTCTTTTCTTAATAGGAAAAAATACCCTGGGCCATGTTGCTACACACGAGAGGGCCACGGAGTTGCCCTGTGAGCAGAAAGAGGAAGGCCTGAGCTGGACTCTTCTTCCTCCTGCCCTCCCAGCCGAGCAGGGGTGGGTGGTCTGTGTTTGGGGCTGTGTGGGGTATCAGGTCCAGGACAGGCCTTGTTGTCTAGCCTTGGTCCCAGGGCTCCAGCTTGGCTTTGATTATTCTCTCCAGCTGGGCTAACCACTGAGCAAAACTGGCCAGGGCCCAGCCAGGCTCTTTTCCTGTAATTTTGAACAGAAGTCCTGAACTTTTCTTCATGGGGGCCAGTGTCCAGAGAACCTTGTCTCTGATGTCGCTGGGCTGAGCACTCACGGACAATTGCAAACAAATCATCCCAACACTTCCCAGTGTGAATACAGAAGAGAGGGTAATGGAAAGCAAGGCATTATGAGTTCTGAGCTCAATCCCAAGTCAGAGCAAGGAACAGCATCTTATGAATACATAGAGCCAGAGTGGAAAAAAACATGCTGAAGGACTAATGATGATGATCTCTGGGTGGTGGAATTCTCAGTAATGTTCATTTTCTTATTGACATGTTCTGTGCTCAACTGTTTTTCTGTGATGAACAGGTATTGCTTCTAGACCCAAAACACACTTTCCTCTAGTGGAAGCACATTCATCAATGCCAGATAGTTAGCAAAGCACTTCTTTTGAGCCTGCCCTTCTCAAAGTTGTATGTTTTAAAATGAGATTCTTTCTCTTAATTCAGTCATATCAAAAAGATTTGGGTTTCATTTGCAGACGGACAGGCAGACACACACACACACACACACACACACACACACACATGCGCGCGTGCGGACAGTGGGAGAGGCTGGCTGAGATCCAGATGAAAGAGCACCATCAAGGTCATGAAGGGCTGCAGGTGGACGAGCTGCCTGGACAACAAGGGCTGCACTGGGCTCTGGGCTCAAGACAGGGCAGCGACAGGCACTCGAGCTGCGCCTGGGACTCCTGAAGGGCCCTCCTGGGCCTTCTCAGGCTTTCAATCTGCTCTGATTTGTGGAGGGAGCGCTGCATGGGGTGAGCTCCAGCTTTCCAAAATCTTCCCACCCATTTCTGTTGGGGTGGAGAAGTGGCCCCTTACCCTAGAGCTTCGTACAGGATCCTTCATCCAATTTCTGGATTCTTTTATGTTGCAATTGGCAGTGGGGCTGCGTGGGGTGAGGGTATAAGTGTGGCTTGAAGTAGGAGGGCAATGTGGATGAGATAAGAGGGCCCTCGAGAAAATGGTCATTTTTTTCTGGGGGAAGTATCCCTTTCCCGATGGAGTCTACATTCTGCCTGGCAGGGGGGCTGGCACCGGGGAGGTGTATTTAGAAGGAGCTGGGTATCAAGGAAGCATGAGCTTCATTCTCGAGGTGGAAGGTGGGGCCCGATGAATGGGGAGCTCTAACATGAAAACGTGGACAGGTGGTGCTGGACACAGTGGGTAACTAGCACACGCTTGTGATTTCCGTTCTAGAGATGCAAGTTTATTCTGTGTCTGGCAGCTTCCCCTCCACCCCGTCTGGACAATGCCGTTCTGGCCTGAGCCCCAGAGGGAGATGGAGGGATCGGTCCGGGTGCCTCAGTCTGGTCTGTGCAGCTGGAAACGTTTCATTGTTTTTTCTATCCAGGGCAGAAAGCTGGAGATCTTGGTTTCAACACGTGGAGGTTTCCCGTCTTTTTTCCCAAAGGCAACAATGCCTTGGGCCCTTTTGTCACACACGAGGGGACCTCCGGAGTCTCCCTATGGGCACAGAAGAAGGACTGAACTGGGCCTTCTCCTGGCCCTGCTCTCCTCACTGCCTGGGGGTGGGGGTCTGTGTTAGGGGGTGGCATGGGAGGTCAGGGTGAGGGCAGGCCTTTTTACCTCCCTAGGTCTTGGTCTTCAACTTGACCCTGGTCTTCTACTTTCTCCCTCCCCCAGGAAGCCTCTGCCCATCAGTGGCTGTAGGACAGCCTCTCGTCTCCCCCGGGGAGATAGGACCAGAGACTGGCTTGGTGGAAAGGCTGACGGCATAGGGCTCTGGTTAGTTCCCACTGTTCCAGGGTCCCTCCAGGCTTGGGTGTGCCCACGGCTGGGTGTGGACAATGTTGGGGATCTCACCGAAAAAGTAGACTGATTCTTTTTTGGGTCCCCCACACAGATCTGGGTGTCGTTGCGGAAAGAGCTTCTGTAGCGTGCGCGGCACTGCCTGTCCTCTTGGATTTCCAGCTGTACCTCATGCAGTTTGTCCGTGGTGGTGTTCAGGTCAACTCGCCCCCAGCCTGCCACACTGCACACCATCCCTGGCTTGACCTGCTGTCCCCTCCTGGGCAGCTTGAGGAGGCCCACGGCGGCAGTCAGTTTGGCCTTCCTCCTCAGCTGAGGTCAGAGCACAGGAATTCTCATCTAGCAAGGGCCCACAGACACCAGAGACCGTCACAGCCCTGGGACAGGTAAAGGGGTCCTACTGGGGTTAAGGTGTACAAGAACCGGTGGAGCGAGGTTCCTTACCTGCAGTAACATGATGTCATTGACTTTGGGACGATAGCCTGGGTACGGGATGATTCTTTCCACTGGGATGACCTGCTGGGTTTTCTCATGCTTCCTGATGTTGTGGGCTCCCAGGATGACTGTTATGAAGCTGCCCAGAGAGCAGAGAGGGAGGTGGGACACAGCTGAGACCACCCAGGGGCCGTGAAGGAAAGAGGACAGCTGGGGACAGGGCAGGACTAGAGTGGAGAGGGATCATAGAAGGTGGGGCCTGGGAATGAGCACGTCTGTGCCCTGCTTCTTGGCAGCTCGGGCTAGGTGGCAGTTCCTGGAGCAGATTTAGGTTGCTCAGCCATGCACCGAGTTAGCCTGTCTCTAAGCAGAGCTGTGGATTTCTCACATTTGTGCCCTGGGCTCCAGGGCACAACCTTGGCCTCCTTCCCATGCTCCTTTGATCCATCCCTCTGGTCTTCAACAGGCCACTCGCATTGAACTGTCCCTCTCTCCCCAACGCTGCTCCGTCCTCTGCAGAGCTCCTCTGAGCTACCAGGTCTGCAGCCCTGGAGCAGAGGGTTCCCTGCGGAGGGGTGGGGAACAAGGCTGCGCTCCTCACCTTCCCTGGCAGTGAGCGGCCGTCAGCACAAAGTTCTCATGCACAAGGAAACCCCCACATCGTGTTCTGTTTACAGTCTTGATTCGAAGAAATGCCATGTAGGGACGAGAGTGAGGCTTGACCTCATGCCCCTCGATGATTTCCCCTGAAAGAACAATTCTGCCCTGCCGGCTGTGCTCATGGAGCCAAGGGCTGCAGGGGAGGCTGGGACAGCAGGAGTAGGCGGGCAGGGTTGGGTGGCAGATGGTGATGTGTGGAGTCATCAGCCATAACCAAGAAGAGGTCCTGCAGGTTCCTTGGGCAGCATTCCTGGCTTCCCACCTGGCCTGAGAGGCCCAGATTCTCCCTCCGACAAAGGGAAGAGCAGAGCCCATCCCCACATTCCTGCTGCGGTTGTGCGTGTGGTCAGACAGGCTTTGTGTTCGGGAAAATCCTTCCCCCTACGCTCCCCTGTCTTCTCTCCCTGCTTGTTCCCAGACTCACCAAGCTGCTGCTGGTTTGTCATATTGAGAACAATGTCAGTGAAAAATTACCAGAGAGAACTTGAGACTGAACCAGCCAAACACCCGTGCTAAGGGGACCAGGATGCCACCGACTCTGGGAGCCACTGGGTCCTCAGCTTCTTTACAAGGTTTGGAGAAAGGGGTGGAGATTGAGGGTAGAGTTCAAGACAATGAGTTAAAGGTCAGTGGGCTTTACTTTGATTCCAGAAGCCAGCCCCCTTTTCCAAGCTGCTGTTTTCTGGGGAATTATTTCTCATTTCTAGCTTCCAACCTTCTTCCAGGTGCCTTTGCCTTCGCCCTGCCATTCTCGCTGAGTTCTCACTCAGCATCCGATTTGCTGGTCTTTGGGGGAGGTGGGATCTAGAGTTGAGAAAGCTCCTGGGGATGGGCTGGGGCCAGGATGAGTCTGAGTGGAGCATCTGGGCATGGCCGTACCAGTGTGGCATAGGACTGGGCTTCTGCTGTGGGGACAGTCACTCACCTGCCTGGGTCCTGGGGTCCAGAAGGAAGGCCATCAGGAGCAGAAGCGGCCGCATCTCCTTAGGAAGTCTGCCCGGGTCAGAGCTACTGGGGCTCCCTTCCTCGTGGTCCTTGAGCCCAGGGTTCTCTGGTGCCGTGGTTGTGATCACACAAGGCTCTGTGAGTGTCTCACACAGCTGTCTGGTCAAGTCCTCAGACCTGAGTAGACTGAGAACTTATCAGTAACCACATAAGCATCCGTAGACTCAGGGGTGACGATACCACTGCAAAACAGGAACCACAGGCTATAAATAGGGCGGTTTGTGATGCTGCATCAGCCAGTACAAGGCCCCTGAGCCCCAGAAATCCAAATCACATGATAATGGCTGCAAGGTCCCCTCATTTCTTTGGGTCTCTCTTGACAGTTAGGGTGGTTGTTTATTGAGGTTTCCTTTTTGTGAAACTCAGGGGGTATTGGAGATGAGATTTCTTGTTTCTGGTGGAAAAAACAAAGCCATCAGTGATCAGATAAAAATGGTGAGGGCTGTGGTTTGAGGGATGGACAGAACGGTGTGCCAGTAAGGCCGAGGAAGGCTGTTCTAGTTACTATAAAACTGAGTGGTTGAAACGACAAACAACAACATATATTTTGTTGACAAAGCTGGTTTAGTGTGGATAGCTCCCTCCTGCCCAGTGGTCAGTGCTGGCTGTTTGCGGGGCATGCCAGTTGCTCTCTGTGAGGGTCTCTCATAGAGCCTCTGCACAATATTGTTCTCATAGAGCCTCTGCACAATATTGTTCGGTTTTCTTTGCAACATGAGAGTTGCCTTCCTGAGAGTGAGCCTCTCTTCCAAACTGACCCTGACAAAAGTATTCTTCATTCCTAGATTTTAAGTCATGTAGTATTCATTCTACCTTATTGCACTTCTTGGGGCAATCAAAAGCCCTCACCCAGATCTAAAAGGAAAGAGTGAGAGGGATTCCAAAATGGCAGTGGAGTGATGGAAGCTAGGCAAACCATCTGCCAGGACCAAACTGGAATTACAATGAAAATAAAGACAAATCATCAAAAAAAAAAAAGCAACAGAAAAGCAGCTTGGAGGACCATATAACAGGGGATACTGACTTGATCCTGGTAGGACTGCGGAGGCGGGAGAGGGAGGCTGGAAGCCCACCACCAGCAGCGGTCTTAGCTGTGAGCAGCGCCCTCAGGGTTACACTGCCAAGCTGCTCCACAGTGCTGAGCCGGGACAGAGGCTAAACTAGCCACAGCCACTCACCTTGGGCTCCGGCAGAGAAAAGGCAAACTGGACTAGAACTGTGTCGGGACACTCGGGATTTGGAGGGCGGTCAGAGCTTTTGCTCAGTTGCAGCCACAAAGGACAGTGGTCATCTTACTCCTTCCCAAAGCTCTGGGAAGAAGCAGCGGACCCTCCCTTGGAGATTCAACCCCACCTGTTGGCCATTGAAATGCAAATTGAGGCTCATTAACAACTAGCATCTGCCCCACCCTTGGGAAATCCCCTTCCACTAAACACCTGAGGGAGTTTTTCATTCAACTGAGAAGCCAAGGCTCTTCAAGTAACTGAGACTAATCCCTCCAGGCAAAAGTGAGAGGATAACTGAACCATTCCTGTGCTTGCAACTCTGCCCAGGAAGGTAAGACTTGACAGTGGAGTTTAACGTGGGTCCTCCCACGCTTATCCAAACCAGTACAGGGTGCCACAAATACCAGAACACCAACACCCACAGGGAAAATTTGGCAGACTCCAAAGCCCACTGAGATAGCCAAAATGGTGAAACACAGAAACAAAAGCCAAATGAAAGAAAAGAAACCTCTACCGAAGATGAGATAAATGAGGTGCAGTTAAGAAGTTAACAGAACTAGAATTCAAGCCATGATCTTGAGGAAGCTCAACAGCATGTGTAAGGACATGAGCACCATGAGTAAAGACATAGAAAGGTTGAAAATCAACCAGTTGGAAATTAACAACCACCAAGAAGAAATGAAGAATGACATATCAGAAATAAAAAACACATTGGAAGGTCTAAACAGCAGAGTAGAGGAAGCTGAGAACCGGATCAGTGAATTAGAAGACAGGGTAGAAAAAATCAACCAATCAGAAAACCAAAAGGAAAAAACGATTTAAAAAAACGAAGATAGCTTAAGAGAACTGTGGGACAACTGGAAAGGTAATAACATTTGCACCATAGGAGTCTCCAAAGACGAAGAAAATGGGTAAGGGTTAGAGAATATATTTGAAGAAATAATCACAGAAAACTTTCCTAACTTGGTGAAGGTGGAAGGCATTCAAGTTCAAAAAGCACAGAGAGCCCCAAGTAAGAAGAACCCAAACAGGCCCACACCAAGACACATAGTAATTAAAATGTCAAAAATTAAAGACAAAGAGAGAATCCTAAAAGCAGCAAGAGATAAGCAACAGGTGACTTACAAAGGAACCCCCATAAGGCTCTCAGCTGACTTCTCAACAGAAACACTACAGGCCAGAAGGGAATGGCATGAAGTAACCAAGGTCATGAAAAACAAGGCTCTGAATCCAAGACTACTCTATCCAGCAAGGCTATCATTCAAAATAGAAGGTCAAATAAAGAGCTTCCCAGACAAAAAAAAAAAAAAAAAAAAAAAGGCTAAGGAAATATATTAACACCAAACCAGCACAGCAAGATATGCCAAAAGGACTGCTATAATTAGTAGAAGAAACAGGAAGAAAAATAGAACCACACTAAACAAAAATGGAGATAAATAATGACCTTAAATGTAAATGGACTGAATGCTTCGATAAAAAGACACAGAGTAGCTGACTGGATAAGAAAGCATGACTCATATATATGTTGTTTACAAGAGTCTCACCTCAAAACAAAAGACTCACATAGGTTGAAAGTGAAGGGATGGAAAAAAAATCTTTCAAGCAAACGGAAAGGGAAAAAAAGCTGGGGTAGCAATACTCATATCTGATATAGTAGATTTTAAAATGAAGGCCATAACTAGAGTCAAAGAAGGCCACTACATAGTATTGAAAGAATCTATCCATCAGGAAGATATAACCTTGATAAACATATATGCACCCAATATAGGAGCACCAAAATATATTAAAAATCTTCTGGAAGCCTTCAAAGGAGAAAGCATAGCAATACAATCATACAACAACCCGCTGACATCACTGGATACATCTTCTAGACAAAAATTTCGCAAGGAAACAGAGTCTCTAAATGAAGCACTAGACCAAATGGATTTATTTGTTTATTTATTGTTACCTATAGTTTGCATTTTATTTATTTATTTATTTAATTTATTTTTGTTACAGATGTTTCCCTTTTTTCACCCATTGATTCCCCCCTACCCCTCCTTCTAAAACATGTCTCCACTTTTGTTGTCCATGTCTGTTGTTCATACATACATGCATATAAGTTTTGTGGTTTATTTCTCCCCCACTACCCCTCTTCTGGGGATTGTCAGTCTGTACCCCATGTCCACATCTCTGGGACTACCCCATTCCTCAGACTGTTATGTTAGTTATATTCCACCAATAAGTGAGATCATGTGATATATGTCTTTCTCTGCTTGGCTTGTTTTGCTTAGGATAATACTTTCCGGGTCCCTCCATGTCGTCTCAAAGGATAAGAGATCTTTCTTTCTTACAGCTGCATAGTGCTCCATTGTGCATATGTACCACAGCTTTTTTATCTATTCGTCTACTGGTGGACACTTGAGCTGTTTCCAGATCTTAGCTATTGTAAATAGTGCTGCTATGAACATGGGGGTACATATATTCTTTCTGATTGGTGTCTCAGGATTCGTAGGGTATATTCCTAGAAGTGAGATCACTGGGTAAAATGGAAGTTCAATTTTTAATTTTTTGAGGTACCCCCATATTGTTTTCCATAGTGGCTGCACCAGTCTGCATCTCCACCAACAGTGTACTACAGTCCCCTTTTCTCCACACCCTTACCAACACTTGTTGTTTGATGATTTGTTGATGGCGACCATTCGGACAGGTGTGAGGTGATTGATACCTCATTGTTGTTTTAATTTGCATCATTCTGATGATTCGTGATGTTGAGCATTTCCTCATGTCTCTTAGCCATTTGTATGTCCTGTTTGGAGAGGTGTCTATTTAGTTCCTCTGCCCATTTTTTAATTGGGTTCTTTGTCTTCCTTTTTTTGAGTTGCGTAAGCACTCTATATATATTGGAAATTAACCCCTTATCTGATATATCATTAGCAATTATGCTCTCCATACAGTGGGTTGCCTTTCCATTTTGATGATTGTATCTTTTGCTGGGCAGAAGCTTTTGAGTTTGATGGAGTCCCATGTGTTCATTTTCTTCTTTGTTTCTGTTGCCTTAGGTGATGTATCAGTGAAAATTCTGCTGCGTATGATGTCTGAAATTTTGTTGCCTACATTTTCTTCTAGGATTTTTATGGACTCATGAGTCACATTTAGGTCTTTTATTCATTTTGAGTTTATTCTTGTGTAGGGTGTAAATTGATGGTCTAGTTTCATTTTTTTGCATGTAGCTGTCCAATTTTCCCAGCACCATTTATTTATTTATTTATTTATTTATTTATTTATTTTTTATCCTCACCCGAGGATTTGTCTTTATTTTAGTTGTAATTCCTTTTTGGTCCTGGGAGATCGTCTGTGTGGTTTCTATTCACTTCGCCTGTTTTTTCATATCCTCTAAGCCTATCTTGTGTGTAGCTGGGTTGCACAGTCTTTTAAGGTGCCCCCGCACCCTGCAGGTCCCTCGGGTAACTGTATCGCACAGTCCCTCAGGGGGCTGGCTCTATGCCTATGTTATGTGCTGCTGGGTCGCACAGAACTCTCTGGTGCTTCAGCACCCCGCAGGTCCCATGGGTAACTGGATAGTGCAGTCCCTGTGGGTTACAGAGCCCTCTCTGGTGCTTCAGCTCACAATAGGCCCTGTGTAACTAGATCGTGCAGTCCCTGCTAGGTGGCACAGGCCTCTCTGGTGCCTCAGCACCCCACAGGCCCCGTGGGTAACTAGATTGCGCAGACCCTGCTGGGTTGCACAGACCTCTCTGGTGCTTCAGCACCCCGCAGGTCCCATGGGTAACTTGATCGCACAGTCCCTGCTGGGTGGCACAGGCCACTCTGATGCCCTTGCACCCTGCAGTTCCTGTGGGTTCAGCAACAGAAGAGCAATAGGACAGGACCATATAAC